TTTTTTTGTTTGTATGGTTAATTAGTAAAAAATATTTATTTAAAAAATATTGAATTGAGTTGTATTTGAATTAAAACACTAGATTCACTATCACAGAACTTCAAATCAGAACATACAAGTTAAATACGTCATTAAGACAGTTTACTAATAAACATTGACTCTGAGCTTAAAATTTGCCAGGGTACGAGTTCAACCCTTGCTAGTTGCAGTCTCAAAAAATTATTTATGTATAATTATATACAAGAAATAATTTCGAGAAAACTGATGATGGATACTTGGCAGTATTCGAAACAGTTGTATAGTCAACCAAATATTCAATTAGGAAAATATAAAAAAGACTTATTGTTGTAGTTTACTACTTTTCGAAACCTATCTACCAAATATAAAATTTTATTTGTTGATTTCAAACAAAAAATTATATTAAAGTTTATTTAGAACAATACTCCTGTTGTAGTTTTTTCTTATTTTAACAATAGTCATAAATGTTATATAATATTATTTATTTAAATAAACAAGCTATAATTTTTATTTAAAATCAACAAATAGAAGTGTTTTTATTTTCAATTTTCAAATCATTTAAAACAATGATATATGATATATATGACATCCTGCAAAAAAAACTTATTACTTATATATGTCCAAAAAAGATTTTGTATTTATTGTTGAAAAACATACAGCGTATGCCTAGTGCTAAAAATGTACCAATTCTTTTATAAAACGTTTACCTTATTTAACTTAATATAATTTTAAGTACAAAATTTTTACAGATAGAAATTAATTTTAGAATAAGTTTGGATGCGCTAATAGAAAACGCTGTTAAATACAATAAATTTCAATTTTTGGGTAAGCAACGCTAAAATTCAATAAGTGTATTATCTACAATATTATGGTACAATTTGAACTCTATTACATTACTAGTTATTCTCACCACAGCTGTCTACTAACTTGCGAGAGTGCTTGTAAAGTTTATGTTCTTGTGCTACTTTTATAATTAAGTTATTACTGAATATTACACGTTCAACATGTCGGTGGTTATTGAAACCACAATCGGTGATATTACGGTTGATTTATTTACCGAGCAGCGGCCAATTGCGTGTCTCAACTTCATAAAACTGTGCAAGCTGAAGTACTACAATTACAATTTGTTCCATACAGTGGAACAGAATTTTATTGCCCAAACTGGTGATCCTAGTGGAGCTGGAAATGGAGGTAGTTCTATTTGGGGTGTAATTGAAGGTCCACAAAAACGATTTTTCCAAGCTGAAAATTTGCCAAAGATAAATCATACAAGCCCTGGTTTGCTGTCACTAGTAAGTCCAGGTAAAAATTTGGTTGGCTCGCAATTCTTCTTTACATTAGACTCTAATTTAACATTTTTGGATGGTGTACATTGTGTTATTGGAGAGGTGGTCGAGGGTATGTTCTATAATAGATTTTTTTATGTTTTATATATATTAAAAATTCGAAATTTCTAGGTTTTGATATATTACGCACGTTGAATGAAACTATTGTCGATGATAATAGTCGACCTTTTCAGGACATACGCATTACACATACTGTTATACTTAATGATCCATTTGATGATCCGCGAGGTTTTCAAGTGCCAAGTCGTTCGCCATCACCCAATGAGGAACGTCTAAAAAATGGGCGGATTGCTGCTGATGAGGACATTTATGACACAGAAGGCAAAAGTGTTGAAGAACTGCAGGAGATGATAGCCGATCGTGAAGCAAAAGCACGTGCAACTATTTTAGAAATTGTGGGTGATATTCCAGATGCTGACGTAGCGCCACCAGAAAATGTACTATTTGTTTGTAAACTCAATCCAGTAACAACGGATGATGATTTGGAAATAATATTTAGTCGCTTTGGTAGAGTAAAAACTTGTGAAGTTATACGTGACAAAAAAACAGGAGATTCTCTACAGTATGCTTTTGTTGAATTTGAAGAGCAAAAATCATGTGAAGCGGCTTACTTTAAAATGGATAATGTACTTATTGACGATAGACGTATACATGTAGATTTCTCTCAATCTGTCGCTAAAGTAAAATGGCGAGGTAAGGGCCGTGGTGTGGATGGAATGCAAGGAAAGTTTGATTTTAACGATTTAAGTGAGGAAAAAAATAAAAAAGGGGAAAGTAGAAATACTTATAAAAATCGGCGTCGTTCACCTGAATATAGACAGTATGATAGAAAAAATAGATCTCCACGTCGAAGTCGCAGTAGAGAACGCCGGGACTTTTCTGCTAGAAAACGAAAAGATGATAGTAGTGAAAGATATACTAAAAGTAATAAATATAATCGCAAGTCTCCTGCACATAATGATGACGCTAAATATCATCGAGCACGACATCAGAGTCAAAGTCCATCTCGTAAGCATAGGTCTAACTCGAAGAATCGTAATATCAATCGTGATGAAAGGAGCCGATGTAGTCGTAGCCCAGCACGTGTACAAAACGAATATTCTAGAGAGCGTGAAAATTATCGTAAAAGAAGAATGGAGGATAACTCTAGTCCTGACCGCACATACAAAAATCGTCATAGTCCCCTGCGTGGACGTCGAGCTGACCACAATGATTATGAAAGAAATCGTCACCATCGCAATACGCATAGTCCACCACGCAATTATAGAGATGAACGTAAACATGACAGGCAAAGGTCTAACAGCAATAGTCCTTCACGCCGGGATAGATTAGATCCCAAAGTGTGTGAACGAAAAAATGGTAAAAGTAATGATAATATAGAGCATAGACGTCGAACCGAATTAACGCAACATGAACGAAGCGAAAGGCACAGCAGATATGATAGTGTTAGTAACAACCATAAACCCTTGTATGACAGCCGCACACGAAAGGACCACAGTGTGGATAAGAGTATAAAACCTTCACATGATGAGAAAAAGAAACGTAAAATGAGTGAACAAAAGGATAGAAAAAGAAAGAATAAAAAAACTAAAGACTCATCCTCTAGTGAAACGGAATCTAACAGCTCAACTAGTGACAGCAGCACAACTTCAAGCTCCAGTTCAACTAGTGACAATAGTACACCCTCAAGTTCCAGTTCTAGTTCTCAAGATGAGCGTAAACGTAAAAAAAATAAAGAAAAAAAATCTAGAAAAACAAGCAAAAAATATAAAAAATAAACTTTGTTTCTGATTTGTATATATTTGGTTGTTTTTTCTTTATTACCTTATATTAAAGCAAATTTAGTTAAACTTTATTAAAGTTATATTAAAGCTATTAAATTACATTATTTTTTTTACATTTGTAAGCCTTTTACATTCCTACGTTGCTTTTTATAAACGTTTATTTTTAAGCCTCGTTGTCTATGTTTTATTATTTTGAGCTGTCGTTGTTACTTCTTCAGTGGAACCACAACCACTACCACGGGAGCGTTTTGGACGCTCTAACACTGCATCAGGATTGAAGGGAAAATTATCTAACTTAGTGGTATCCTTGGTAATTTCCACAGCTGTTGAATATAATCCGCGTTGACATATATTTTAAAAAATTTGCTAATTCTACTTACTGAAAACATTGTCCTCTTTTTGTACAGCTTGTATGACATTCGTACGTAACTCCTTTTCAACAGCCTCCGCTAATTTTATCATCTACCAACATAAACTTTGTTTAATAATATTAATATAAAATATTTAAGCAATTGTTGTTTACCTTGTTTATTTCGGCATCATCAGTTTCATTTTTGCTTTTAAAAAAGGCTTCGTTTATTTGTTTACGCGCTGCATCCAAAGTTCTCTCGTCATTTCGAAATACAACTTGTCTCGTTCGATGTAATTTTTTAAAAATTTGTAGAACCTAAAAAAATATGTTTTATTTAATTGTTGCCTGCATTTAGTTTCACGAAAATCTTACGCGTTTTGGGTTTGCCATTCTAACAAAATATTGTTATTTAATTTTGAAATCAGCTGAGAATATAGGTTAGAAAGAAACTAACCAATAACTTCGAAAATAGTCTTATATTTTACAGTGTTGCATTCCTAAAAAAATTATTTCGAATTCAAATAAAAAACAAAATTACATTCCGTAAATGTAGTTCTAGTTCAAATTGATTTTTTAATTATAAAATTACAGTTCTGTGTTTGTTTTTAAATCAATCTGAACCTGGAAGCATATGTCAATTTACATATATTTTACATATATTTTATTTAAACAGGATTTATATATGACATTCAATTCATAACTTCTGGCCAACTCATACTGCACATTGTAGTTGAATTGTCCGACTTACATCATAACAATATCAAATAAAACTTACATTCTTATTCTACATATAAATACGACAACTAAAATTGCAATTAGATTGTTATTTTTACATAATCCAGCTTAAACTAAATTCGTAATTCTCAATAGTAGAATTGATTCAATAATTCTCTTAAACAAAAACAACAAAATATTGCTGCAGCACTCAGCATTTTAATTTACAAAAGTCTTAATAAAAATATACACAAAATATTTTGCGCAAATTGTCACAATAAAAAAACTTCTACTACTCACCACGAAATGATGTGGTTCACCATTCAATTCTTACCCAAATTTCTTACAAATCATATTTTTTCTTGATTCTTCTTCTTGAGTTACTGCTATTAGGCACTTTTACTCTATAAATGCTGGGGGTATTTGGATGACTTATTCCACGTGCTTGATTTTTAAAAGGAAAATGCTATAAGCGATATTTGTATTTAAAAACGCAATTCCTGCATGCGGTATTTAGAAAGAATAGTGCGATTTGCAGAAATAGAATAAACTCTATTTTTTTAATTGTAAGTAAATCTGCAACTATATAAAAAAGTTGTAAAAAAAAATTTTTTTTATATATACAGATCTGACAACCTCAAACTAAACTTTAGTACAGCAAAAGTGTACTGAAGTGTTCCAATTTGAAAGATGAATAGGTATTGACGATCTGTCATGTTCTTTCGCGATATAATAATATATTTCTAAGGCCATATTATATATATATAAATGTATTATTTTATTATTATTATTAATATTTTATGGTTCAATCATTACTATCTATTTATTTGTTTTTGTTATATTGTAATTACGCTATACAATCTTTTATGATTTGCTATTTTTATTGTCAGAAAATAATGACAAGACATACAATATTTGAAATACTACAAGATAATCAATATATCATATACTAACGAAATTTTATAAAAATTACTAGATCGAGATTCAGGGATTGATGCGTCGTAAACCACACAACGGCTAGTTAAAATTTTAAGTTAAAATAACATTTCGTTACTTAAAGCAATTAAAAAGATTTTAATCTATATAAACTTCTTTCTCGTCACGTTATATTTGCATACATAACTGTAGGTCAAGACGGAAATGTGGGTTACGTGACGATATTACCGGTCTAACCGAAGTAGTATTTCAAAATGAAAAAAGAGTACACTGAGTACCACTCCCTTCCCCTCTAATTATAATAGATCGATTGTGTGGTATGGCCATGAGCAATCAGTTTTGTGCAGCATTGATTTTTTTAGTCTATTGAATGATATACATATAATATAGAATTTTATTGAATATGAGCTTTCCATTTATATAGTCTTTTGTGCTCGTGAATCTGACCAACTCCTGCTTTGCCTTCCAACTACACTCATGTACATGACAGTCGCAATATGTTTTAACGACGGAATAACAGCACATCTCCCACAACTTTTTATGGTTTACCACTTTTAAAAACTTCTTCAAAATAGATCAAAATATTCCAAAAGACATTAACATGTGTTGCCACTTGGAAAAACTTAATTCATGCTGGGTATAGATGTGATGTTAAAATAGTTTTTTTTACATTTTAAAGAAAGTATATTTTGTCAAATAGTAGGTAAAATATAGTTTTGCGGTTATAACGTTAAAAGTTTTAAGTCTAAAGATTTTTATAAATTGTCAGGAAGTAATTCTGATATACACTGGGACAATTGATTGGCATCTGCGCCATGAAATTGTTTTACTGCCTCCTTGTCTTTAATGAAGGTAAATGTCGGAAAGCAAGTCACATTATATTCCGAGGCTATATCCTGGTGTTGCTCAGCGTCGACCTATGAAAAACTTTTTTCTATTAGTACCTTTAAACTTGTAAGATTATGAGCACTTTACATTAATTACAATCAGATTATTTGAATTCTCCTGAGCCAGTTGTTTAATTTCAGGTGCAATCTTGTGACATGGAGCACACCACGAAGTCATGAAGTTGACTAGTACCAACTTTTCACCAGCATTCTTGATTTGACTTAGAAAATCAGTCTTAAAAAGAAGTATTTATAATAAATTTATTTTGTAATAATACATTACCATAAAATTCTTATACAATAAAACAGTTATTTGTTAAATATTGAATAAAAAAAAAATAAGACAAAAAGGTAAAAATTATATATATAAATATAAGAATAGGACACTTTGCTTACTTACATAACCGTTTATATCACTCATCTTTACTTATTAGTCTATATTTTTTACAATAAGAAAAAATTTTAATTGCATTTAATTTTTTAAAGTCAATTTTGATTTTGAATAGTTAACTTTGATTTCTATATTCTAATCATAAATCTTGATCTTCTTGATTCTTGATTGTTCTTCTTGAGTTAGTGCTATTACGCACTTTTACTCTATAATGGCTGGAGGGCTTATCTCTACCCCACACTAGGCTTTAACTAGGCTAAGAAATCATATCATTTATTTGTCTTTTAATTGATGACGGACTTTAAATCAGCATATCTTCCTGAGAGTCCAGAAGTGGACTTGAGGATTGTTAGGGCGGGGTTAAGTAGCGTATCAACTTTAGTAAATAATTTTAGAGCTCTGTCTTTCATATATTTTTTCACTGAGTCAATCCTAAGATCTCTATGTATGTCTGTTGATCTAATATACCATGGAATGTTAAACAGTCTTCTTAAAGCCACCTTTTGAGCTATCTAATCATAAATGTTTTTTTCATAATGCTTTTGTCAGTTTTGTTCTGAAAAGCCCTTCTTCAACATATCTGCCGATATAGTACACAAGAGTTTCCCATGATAATATAATATTGTTCTTTAACTATAACATATAACTTAAAAGTAAAGTACAATTTTACTAAGATTTTTTGCTTCCAAGAACGGCCGGGTCTACGTTCCGGAGCCACTCGTCAAAGACGACGAAGTGCCGTTCGACCACCCCCAAAGGGACTTCACAAGCAGGTCCCGGCGGGTTACAACAACAACAACAACTGAGATTTTTTTTTATATGTAACTCTACATCATGATAAACAAATCTTATGAAGAAAGTATGGGGGTGGGTCACATTCTACGCAAACCTTTCAGCGAAATCGCATATGTCAGTTTAAAATGAAGTCTACAAGAAAGAAGAAATCGCATTCGACGAAAAACTATATGGAGATTGACAATTAACAGAGAATCGAGCGAATCTTTCAGTGAACTAAGAGCTATAGCGCGTGATAGAAATACTTGGAATTTTTATTTTTGAACATGTCAATAATAATAATAATATATCTTAAACTCTTAAACATCTTAAAAATATTTACTCACTTAGTTGACCATTACAGACGTGAGTCATTCTTGACCGCAATCGAGTAGTCTCCGCCAGTGACCCCGATCAGTTGGTTGCTGTTGCCAATTGGTAGTACCGATTGCACCCAAATCATTGGTCACCTGGTCCTTCCATCGCAGATGCGGACGTCCTCTACCGAGTTTTCTATCTGCGGGTACCGAATCACTCGAATTTTTTTTCTTTATTTGACGTATATACCAACCTACTAAGTCAAACCTAGTAAAACAATGAACAAATAAAGGTTGGTCTGCGTTTGCAACAATAACAAAATTAAGAACGCTCGGAATATTCAACTTCAAACCAGAATTAAAATAAATAAATTATGTGTTTCCTTTTTCGGACACTACTTCAAGTAACTAAACAGTTCTATAAATATATACCCACAAGATATATTTAGATTTTGATGGTCAGAGGTTATCTGAAAAGTTAGGCTTTGGCATATAACTTAAAAGATTGACCTTATAAAAAATGAATATACACTGTATTAATTTATATAAAAGACAACAAAACACTGTTTTTGTTTATGTTTAATGAACACCACAAGAATACATGATAAAGAAGAGAC